CACGACCTCTAGTACATGTCGTGACTTAAACATAAGAACATATTATGGCTAAGGCTACAGTTATACACGTCATAATAATAATATTAAACACCCTGTCTGCTGACAGTCATCAACTCTTCTCTCTAGTTATCCTTGACCAGATGTACCCTGTAGAAACTCATAAGCATGCCTAAGCATTTAACAGTAACTAGACATCCTATCTCCACTAAACATTTCTAATACATAAAGTATCTATCCAATATCTGTCTGACTAAAAATACCTAACACCAGCAATATTGACATTGCAGTTATTTGTTAAAATAATCATCGGTGGCCTTTCTCTTAAAATACAGTGTAGTGTTATTTAAGGCTGGCTGTTAAGAGCAGATTTCCATTAACCTTAATATTAATGCCATAGTCTTTTAGCATAAGCCTAATATTATAGTACATCGTTAGCTGGTCACTGATTGAGCTGTTGGAGACCTAAGCGCCTGATTCTGTTGACATGTTCAAAGACAGTCTTTGGCAACCCGAGGTAAATAGTTTTCCATTTGTAAAAAGTAATTCCTTGTTAACAGAATGATGACGTTTATGTATGGATTCATTTAATGGGTGAGGACTGTCAAGTCAATATATCCTGTTGATGTTAGGCTTCTTTGTGAAGTGTCTATACAGACACCGGGCAAGGGGGTTTCAGTTATAAATGTTGTTTCTTGTATTCTGGAGCTAACTTCCAAGAGCACTGATTGTGCCATATTAGTCTTACAATGTGTTGTGTTGTGTTGTGTTATGGGTGTTATTTGTGTCTAGTAGCTTGCTAATCCATTCCAGGCAACATAAATAAACGGCTTTACATGAGGAAGAGTGGCAGAAAGGAAGGCTGGTCTGGATCTGGTTGGTTCTTAATCTCACCTTTGCCTAGAAATCGTGACTTCATCCACTGGCCTATGTAGGTCAGACTGGCATCACTGTTTGTTATTCCTGGGCCAGAGATACATTTATGTGCACCTGTATAGACTTGCATATTTTTAAATGTGCACACATATGTAGTGTT